AGAAAGTGTTAGTGAGCGTTTGCACGCGATGGAAAAGATTAACATGTGTTTTTCCTTAAAAAAATTCGCATTACATAGGTATACACCTAAGTTTTATATTATAATATATTGTACCGTATTACAAAAATTTGTTTCATACTTTTCAGATGAATTTACTAGATTATATTAGTGAAAGGAAATAGTAACATCAGTTTTGAATTTTGCTTAACGTTAAACTTAGAGTTCTCTGGCAGTTTGATAATTGTATCAGTCAATGCATAATTGTACCAGTCATACGAACGTGCTATTTTATGTAGTGACGTTTTAGCCTGGAGTGAAATTCAGCGATTATGCTATGGCTGATAAGGAAACGACTTCCCTTCTCTGTAATATTCAATGTAATTTTTATATATGTATAGAAGTTATTGCAATAGATTAATTTGAATTTTTGTTATATTGTTTTGCAAGTACGACAGCATATAAGATTATAAATGATGGTGCATTCTATTTCACGACGAGATACTATTAAAGACGATCTGCGATTATGAATGTTTACGTAGTTATTAAAATTTAAGTCATTATAGGAATAGTAAACTGATAATGTGGTACTAATTTCATAATTTATAAATTTCGCAGATACCTATATATATTTTCAAAACTTAATAATAATCGATTTTTATTAAAAACTGTGATTTTAACGTTATTATTCTATATTAAATTTTTTTTAAAGGACCGTCAATGTAACAACATAACTGATACGAATCGAAGCCTATAACAGTTTAGCTGGATGTTAATTGCTTATATATAATATTGCGTGAATTTATGTACTGATATATGTATAAGTCTTTTTAAACTGCCTGCCGAACAATTGTCGGTCTCAAAACGTAGTTTTTTCAAGGAATATTACTAAAATTGGCTAGGACATTTGCGCGTAAAGCAAGCGATCCGGGTTCGACTCCTGACCGAAGTAAAATATTTTTCGCAATAAGAAATATTATTTTAGATTTTAATATATAGTTTAACATGGATATAAAATGCCAAAAGAGCATCAATTAATTATTCATCATTTTTTATTTTTATATTTATCTATAGAGAACTTTTATGTAGAATATTAGCACTTAAATAAATTTATCATAGTACTATGTATAAATGAACGATTCAATAATTTAATTATTTTGTACACCTCGCATCTTATATCTTTTAACTAGAGATCGTACGTGATCCAATCCTGGGTTAAAAGGATTAAGTTTCTTGACATAAAATTTGACAGTTACACAACTCATAGATAAAATATGTCATAGCCTCTCTCTTTAAAACATTGACCCATTTTTCCGAGCGATAAGAGGTGCGTTTTACTCCTAGGACTCGCCTCTGCGCGTGTACCTGCGAGACGAGGCGATTGTTTTACGTCCTTCCACACACTCTCCTACTAATTCCGATCCTATTACACGGTTCCTAAGAGATAGAACGTAATGGTAATAGACGTTTTGGACATATTAAAAACTTCAGTTTAGATCTATGGATATTTAAAAAAAGACATCCTGTGTTATGATTTTGCACTTTTTAAAAACGTCCATTTTAGGACGCAATGGACTAAAACTGGATTTAAAACTGGAAACTAAATTATTTAATATATTAAAAAATTCAAGACTACATTCCAGACGAAATGATTTTTATAGACTTTCTTGTAGTTGAAAATTTTCAACAATACATATGTCCTATAGGGACGTCCGTGAGACGTTCAAAAGACATCCGTACATATTGATAAAGAGTCCTCTTTAGACGTTCTTTGAATAAAGTGTGCTGTGTGAAAACGATTCCGTAAATAAAATTGCTCTATCACGTCACATTTTCTAACCATTGTTGTAGTCACAACTGTGCAGAATAAATTTTAACCTACATAAAAGCACGATTACGCATGACACCGCGTTTGCAATGCGAACCCAATTTCCAACTATGCAATCTAGCAGTTTAAGTAATAATAAGTAAGACGATTTCGGAATTCTGCTGTTTAAGCGATAATATTCGCATTAAAAGATATCGTCGATAATATTCAGAGTTATAATTCTTTTAATATAAACGTCCATGACATTATGACAGCATTGTAAAAGTCCTTGAGTGACAAACTTTGCGTGCTTGTGTGTGTGTACATATAATTTCAAAACTTAAAGATATATATAACACAAATAACAATTTTCTTCGCGAGGTTATCGATTTTAAACAGACTCGTAATCGAAAGTTCGAATCATTATTATGATACGACATTGACACATTACGGATCTTTATTATAATTTTATTTTCCATGATATTATTTATTAATTTAGTTTATTTAACATAACATAAATTATGTATAAGTTTAATAGCGCCATAACATTTGCGCAGTGACGTTTTTATGTCTCACGGAAGTGTTGTGCCGCTCGTGTCGGCACAGGGTTCGGGATTCACCGAGGATTCGGGAGCGAACCTTAAGGAGTGTTTACAAAAGGAACTGCCAAAAGCAGATTTAAACAAAAAAAGAAAAGAAGTAGAAGTAGAAACTTATCCAGTCAGAAATTACTCTTCCGAATAATTATCCAATACTTTCTAGAACATTTTTAACCGCACAACTTGATCTCCGATCCCCGGGTAAATTGCTTAAATGCATTGACTCTAAAAACGGAGGAAATTTCAACAGTAACGTGACGTAACAATATACTTGGTAAAACGCCACTACATCGCCGATATATATGAAATACTATATATCTATAAACACACTCTCTAAAAACATCTAAAAATTTAAATTAATTATCGTATGATCCCCGCTTATTTTGTTCAATTTATTTCATTAGATCGATTCTTAAAAGATGGTATTTCACAAATTTTGTTACAATTATTATATGATTAACCTACTGCACAAAAAATTATGTAACAAGGCATATTGTTTGAAAGATTACAATAAATTCCAAAAACTAATAAAACATTAACTGATATGAAAACATTTACTTATCAACTTTACTTTATTAAAAATTATTATAAATAGATAATATTCGCGATGCGACACTTTTGTCGCAAACAATATGGTATTACAGATTAATCTAACTATATGAGGTGACTATACCAGAAATAAGTAAAAAGATCCATGATATCGTGTTCGATAACCCCAAAGTGAAATTGTGAGAACTAGCTGCGACTGTATACATCTCATCAACGTTTTAATATCTACAGACTACACGAACATTTGAATGTGAGATTGCCACGATTGCTATCAATCGATCAAAAACGTGAACGAGTTCGCACTTCTCAACATTGTTGGACATATGTAGGCGCAAATCAAATAAATTTTTGCGTCGATACATAATCATTGATTAATCATGGGTCCGCCACTATACACCTGAATCGAAACAGCAGTCGGCACAATGGATTCCAAAGCGTAAAAGTGTTCCGAATCGACCAAAGAAGTAACAATCGGCTGAGAAGGTTCTAGCCACTGTGTTTTAAGTTGCACATGGAATAATCCTCATTGATTATCTTGAGAAAGGAAGAACAGTCACAGAAGAATATTATGCATCATTATTGGACCGATTGAATGATAAAATCAAAATAAAATGGTTCCATTTAGAACCATTCGCGTTTTTAGAATAAGTTTAATAATTTTTTTTGCAAATTTTCGAAAAAAAATTATTAATTATTCTAAAAACGCGAATGAATACAAGTTATTTTGTTGTAAAAAATTTTTGTATATATAAAACTTATATATCTCGATAACGCGAATGAATACAGCTAGTAAATATTATTACACGAGTATATCTTAAACTATTTTTTCGAGATGATTATTTGTCAGGACATGACAAACTTACAATGCCAATTTGTGCTTCTCTCTGTACAATTTATTCATATAAAATATGTACACATAAATAAGTAATTGAATCATGTTCCATATTATACAGTGTAATTGAATAAAATATGTTTATATATTACAGGAATCACCAAATTTATATAAATACATATAGATTGTCCTGCTCTAAAATGTCTCATCTTAAATATTTTACTAATTTCTTATTTTGGAAACAAAAAGATAAGAAAACTGTTCTCTTATCTGAAACTGTTTCAGATAAGAGTTCTAAGAAATTGAAAATATAACGGGCAAGACAAAAATTTCATTTAATAATATATCATTAAAAAATCTATCTCTTCTGAAATCATAAAAACTTGTATTAGAAAATTTTTTCTAAAATTAATAATTATTTTTTTAAATTAAAATAATTAAAACATTTAAGATGTACACTAAAAATGTAATAACTTGTACATTAATTTGTTTGGGATGTTTACATAGAACCAACCATCATAATTGCGATAGAATAAGCAGTTATAATATTTTCTATTAACGAAATTTATAGATTTATAAAAAAAACATTCAAAAATAAGATACCCGCTTGGAAAATAAGGAAGTCTTAAGTTCGATTTCTAGCCGAGGTAATATTTTTTATAATAAGTTCTTTATAAAATTTTAAGTGTACTAATAGCATCAAATCTATGATCAAAAGTTAATTTGTAAAGATTATTACTTCAGCGAGTATTTCGGTTAAATGATTGTGCTCTGTCGACAGTATATATAATTATTATTGTCATCGCAATATCTGACTTTGACCGCATTTGGTTTCATCTATTTATAATTTCATATACTTATGTAATATATTCATGTATATCGAATGTATTCTTGACTAAAAAATAATAATTACTAATATTGAATCATATCAAAATTATAGAAGTATTCTAGTCACAATTATTTTGATTGTTTCTATATTCGTATATTCTACATATATCGCGCCGCATACTGCTCATTATACATATGTATTTAATATATTCAACAACTCACAGGCATTTATAACATCTCGTTACAGAAATGCAAAATTGTATACACATAAATTGTACAAAATATCTTCTCTGGCAGTCGTAGTCATGTTGTACTGTAGGATTTGTTACAAAATCTAGGACTCGAATTCGTGAACAATTTAAATTCTCATTTTTCGTACGTGTCTACGAAATTAGCAATGCGCGAAGTGTAATTTAAAGATCGCAATACAAAACTTATTATCAAAAAATTATTATACCTGATAGAATTATACGCATGAAGTTATAAGAGAGCCGAATTTCATTTAAAAAATGTATAGACAAATACAAAATAATGCCGATACTGATACTACCGCCGCGATTAATACTCTAATATAGCTTATTCTAAAATTAACGTTAACCATCACATAGTACATATTCACTTTGTAGAATATTTCTTCTTCTCGTCACTCTCAAAGCCAGAGTCTAGATCATCGCTCTGACACTTTTTCAATGTACAACCCTTGGAGATTTGTCTGACACTTTCTCGCTCTACTAACAATTTTTTTATACTATCTATTAAATGTTGAAAAAAATTCGGGTAGCCGTCGTATCCAGGAAATACATTAACATCTATTATCGCGTACTTCCCTGTATGATTTTCAATTACAACATCTATTCCAACTAGAATAAGACCAAATATCTCTCGAATATTCTTAACAATTGTTTCAAATATTTGGTAATTTGGCTTCACAGTTAAAGGAATGTCTTCTTCGGACAGTATAGACCACTTAGATCTACTGCAACTTTTCGATATATCGTGCGAGTTGAAGAATATTGTACTCAACAAATTACAGTCTTCTTCGTAAAAGTTTTTAAAACTGGGGCGTTCGACTACGTGAAAACGATCGCCCACCACAAATAATTTATACAAAATAGCGTTGTGATTAATGAAATCCTGAGCAACACAAGGTAGTTGACAGTCTTTCAAGTCCCTTTCGTTAAAAATAATCGTCATCTGAAATTAAAAGTAAAAATGTTTTTTTATCGAACTCTTGCTTTTCTTGCTTCAGACATTTTCGCAACTTATACCCACCTTGTGCGCATCACTCGAGCCATATGCAATAAGCGGCTTACAAACAAATGGATATTTGATGCCACGCTTTTTTAATGTTGATGCTATTTCATGGACATTTTTGCTCTTCATTTCTACAAAGTTAGGAGTAAATATATCTGAAAAAAATAAAACTGTCAAACATATAGTTCGGTTTTCTTGCAGTCATATTTATGTAATTGTAAATAACATAAATAAATTATAAATACATACCTTTAAACCGAATGCCTTCTTGTATAAATTCGTAAGATTTACATCGATTACTTAAGTTTCTAATATTGTCCAGAGGATCGATAATAATCAGATCTGGATGTTTGGCAATGTATTCTTGAAGTCGCAAAACAATATCTTCAGCCTAGAAAAGATACGTTATAAAATCATTGACAATCTAAACAGAATCAATATGGTTTTAAACGTTTTCATACATTTTTATCTCCACTCTCTGCATGTGACTGCATATCTGTCAGCTTGTGTAAGAAAACGTGTAGTGGTCCCTGCTTCTCGAAACTTAAATTCACATCAATCTAAAAAGCAAATGGTTTAAAAATATTATAAATATTACACTTGCAAAAATAACACTGATAAAAATAATCAAATAGCAATAAGAAAACTGTTGACATATGTATCAAAATTTTCACATGGATAATTGATTCGCACAATCATTTCGACCTAACAAATCCATGGATTCGAGTTCAAAGCACTGTGAATACATACATCCATACATCACATATATAGACATTTATAACCATTGCAATGAAGGAATGCAGCGAATGACAAAAATTTGAAAAAATTAAGCCATTTGACTTCCATATTATTAAAAATCTAATTGATCTTCGACTCTTTGATTTGATCAATATTTTATCACAGTGAAACTAAGATCTTTGGGTTATTGCAAAAAACAAAATTTTGAAAAAATTTGCAGACAACTGGATGGACTAACATGAAATTATGAAGTAGTTTGCTATGCTGCACTACTCAAGAATGAGATTAAGAAAAGTTGAGATTGGATGATAAATAATTTTATTCCATCATCTGTGCTAAAAGAAAACGTCTTTCAAAAAAGAAATCATTGCACCTTACAATCACGATCAGAAAAAGTTCTTTTTAGCTAAACTTGCTATTAATTTTTTCTCTTTTGTTCTCTGACATGAACATAAAAAAAAAAATACTGCGCAATAAGTTGAAAAACAGGAAAATATATATAACATAAATCTCTTTAATTGCAACTTAAAATAAAGAAAATTATTTTACTGTATACCAATATTAAAAAATTACTACATTGTTAGTTAATATGCTCAGTTAAAGAAAACAGTGTATCGTCGAATCGTACTGAAATCTTTTTGATATTAATACATATTTTTATCATATCTCCAAGAATATTAGAATAAATTAACATATTTTTTTATTTTGGTTGCTTGTTCCTTGGCCTTTTTTTAAAACTGTTTTATATTTGTTGTACGCGAGCTTGATTATTAATTTGTTATGATTAAAGAAATTATTTTCACGTGTAAATCAGCGTATTATCATCTATTTTTCGATGGGAAATGTCTCGCGTTTCAAGCGTTTCTAGAAATGTTTCTGCCCATCAATATTGCATCAATGTGTCAGAGGCAGATATTCGCTCACCATTTTCAACCGGAACCCCTCGGACTCGCATATGTTCTCGAAATCGGTCCAGTTGAACTTCTGTCGTTTTCTCTCGGGCACCCAGTAACCGATGACGCACTTGTCGCACATTCTTCCTTCCTCGCTCGTGCTGGCCATGCCGCGCTGACACCGATCACCGACCACGTGCGGATCGGCGCTCGATCGACGACACTCGTTCCTCGCGTATGTATGTCCCTGGAACGAGACGGTCGGCAGCTCTCATCCTCGCGGCACCGTTCCGACGATTCTCCGCGAGGTCCGGCTCATACTTGGGCAGCGTGGTGGCGAAACGAGGTTAGGTTCTACCGCGCTGTAGTGACTTGCCGTATCCCTACGATTGTCCCTTGATTGCCGTCGTCGAGGTGACACCTCTTCGCCGAAAAATCGAAATGTCCGTCCTCTCGGTTGTTCTCGATTGTCTCCTCTGCTCTGCTCGTCTCGTCGTACGTTACTCGTCGTCGACAATCCTATTGTTTACCTTTCGCACACTGCACAGCACACGCTGCACATGCCGCCGGAAGTGTATCTCTTATCGGACGTGCGTGATCGCCAAGTAAACACGCGCTCCTTCGAACAGTTTTCGACTTTCGAGTAGTTGGTATTTGACCGGTTTTGCGACTGCGATATTTGAAGAATATGTGGAAGGATGCACTTGTTATTCGAATGTTATTCTCTAGGTCGTTCAAGTACGTTCGTTTTATTACGCTGCGACTCGAAAGCTTCGTGATCGCTCAAGAATGTCGCAATCTTTCTACAGTGTTATCGTGAAAAATTGAAGTGTAAAGTAAGATTAGTACTGGGTTAACAGATAACACTACTTGATCTTATCTGCAAATACATCTTTGTATATTTAATATATATAATATATCTATGTGTGTGTGTGTGTGTGTGTGTGTGATGTGTAACAATGTTATTGATTAATTCTTAACTAAATTACATTAAATTAATTTTATACTGTCAGTTTTCATTTTTCTATTTGTTTTTACAATTAATCTTTTATAATTAATCAAGCCCTCCATTGAAAATATAAAATTTTCATCCTTTATCTATAATTTAGGTCTTTAAATTTCAGTGTAGATTTTTATATTGTTTCAAACTATGTAAAAATCTGAAAAAATTACAGATTTTGGTGAAAGCTTTAAGTTATTAATATCATAGAAATTTTGGATTATATATATATTTTATGTATTTTTAAATTTATATTAATTTACCAGATTTTCACAATTAAAAATTGACTGTGTTTTTAAGGTTCATTGCTAACGAAGAGTTAAAACAAATATTTTCCATATGTAACTTCAAAGTCTTTTTGCATAAAAGTCACACACATGACAAAAGAATATTTCTTATACAACACAGAATAACAAATTGTGGCGATATTGCAATTCTAGCAACACGAAATTTTAACAATATTACAGAAATATATTACAAATTATGTAACATAAAATTTTCTAACAATATCGCAAAAACGTTGTAACTTTTGCAATTTGAAATATCCTGTATGAATCGATAGCACAGCTTGTTATCGCGACACAAGTAAAAATCGCTAAGAAGAATGTCGTCTGTGATAAGTTGAAGTGTCACGTGCCAGGTCGTAGAATCTGCGGCTCATTCTAAATACGTTCGGAGCTTCCCAGGAGAGACTGCAAGAGAAACAGGAGTTTGAAGAACGTTATATGGACTTTGCACAATCAATAATACTGTTCAGTAATATTGAATCAATAACACTGATAGTACACATCAATAATATTTTATAACCTTTTTATTGATAAAAAATATTCTTAAAAATATGAAATCAAGTGTCGCGGTTTTAAAATTTTTGTTTCATGACATTTAAAATCTATCCTTTTTGTGTGCGAGTGATGGTTTTGATATCCCACGAAATTATAACAAATCTCGATTAATTCAAAATAAAATAAAATTTCTTTTTGAAACTTTGATCAACAAAACTGTTTTAACTCTAAATATTCTCTATAGAAGACTCTCTTTTTTTATGTATAAAAACGACATAACTCCAAATGTATTGTTCTTGTAGATGTAGAAGATATTATGACCTCTTTAAAGATCTTTAAAAAAACAAGTGCTGTTTGGTAGACGGACTAAAATTAAATTAATGTACTCTTGATAATTGATATTGTAATCTTTACCTAACTTATTCATGATAATAACTCCGAAATCACATCTTTGAGAGCTATGTCACTTTTGAAGTAAAATAACGATATTATTGACGGTTCCGGATTTCTTGATTCTCGAACATCATCGCTATGATAGCGAATACTGATATTCAAAAATAAATTTGTAGATCACCAGCACTGTTCTACATCAATCTATTAATATATAACCAGACACGAGCAATAATATTGTCAGTAGGTATTTATTAATGCTAACAATATTATTGATTATGTAAGATCTGCATTAACTTCTTCCTTGTGTCTTTTGACACACTTACCATCGTGGAATCGTTCAAAGACGTTAGCATACTCCTGGTGACGAGGACCGTCATATTACTATCGCGATCCATCATATTATCCTCAATCAAATCACGTTTCCTCCTCAGGACGCGCACCTCACCGAGGGAATACGAGCACGAGCTCGGCATGTACAGCTCTCCCTCGGAATGAGACGTCTCAGGGGTAGTCTCGACCTGGAACCGAGAATCGAGTTAATTTGCCAATATGATATCCTTTAATCAAGAATTCTTTCTTATCACGATTTCCAATTACAAGAAAACATTGGATTTTATTGCACAATAAAATTTAATTACGACGAATTGTGTCATTATATATTGTTTTGTATACAGCAATTTGGTTAATGCGATAACGTTTGATCGCATTATTGTGTTAATTTATAACGTCGTCTATAGCATTAACATAAATAATTTATAATACTATCATAATGAGAAAGGAGAAGGGAAAGAATTTCGTCGTATCTGATTAAACATTCCATCGTATCTGTTTCGGTTTTATTGTTACAAAAATTTCTCAATATTTTGCACGTTTCTATCTTTTTTGTTCTATAAAAATTAAAAACTTCTCACTTACTCTTATCGCGTCTGCACTCAACGCGCCATTAGTCGATCTGGGAATAAAATACATAATGAAAAGATTAAATAAAATTCCAGTGATTATTAAGTCTCCGGAGCTGACGTTAAATTTATAATCTAATAATGCTCAATTTCTTCACCTTTAAGTAATCTTTTCCCAGGAAATATCTCCCAGAATATAATGGAGGGATCTCCTAGATTAAATTGGAATTCTCATAGATTCATTCAAAAAACGTACTAATCAATAAAATTTATGCAACCAAATGTGTTTGGTTATCAGAATATATGCAACTTTTATCTACTTATTATGAAATATGGATCACTCATTCACCAAACGGTTTGATAATTATATATCTTTATATTTCAAATTAAGTCAGCCAATTTTCTTCAATATCTAATAGTTTCATTTAATTTATGTTAATTAAAAGAATTTTACTGATAAATTCCAAGAAATCAAAATGACATAACTTATAGAAAAAAAAGAATGAACGCTAATAATAAATATACTTTAATGAAAATAATCCAAGTTTTCAGCTCCGTTATTAACAATAACGTCCTTATATTCACCTGTCATGATCCAGCAGCGTACTGCTGATGCTAGAATTAGAGCTGGATAAGACACCTATCTTATACTTTCGTGATATGTCCGTTAAATCAATCAGCCGCTCGTTATCGCTTGTCGCAGTTTTCTGAGGCTTCGAGATCTCATTTCCGTCTCTGTGGTTTTCGACTGCTGCGAACATCATCAATTTACAAGCCTCCTCGTTTCTCATATCTCTTGTCGAATTATCCTTTCCAGCAATATCAAAGGAAATTTGCTTGTTACATAACGCGACTTCCCGCAAGGATGACTCGCTACTTTTCGGCAAAACACAGTCTCGTGAAAATTCGGCTGAACAATTATTATCCGCAGAGCTCTTCTCTTTAATCACCTCTTGTTGCGGATCAAGTTTTGCTTCACATAAAGAACCAGTGTCTTTTTTCTCTGACAAGTGTACAAGACCGTTTCTTTTCATTACATCTTCATCAATAAATTTCGATTTGGCGGGACTTGCATCCGAACAAACTCGCCCGTTCTTTGTCTTCGAAGCTTCTGCAAGTGTGAACAATACTCTTTTGCTCGGCGTGATACTGTCTTGCGTTTTTCCAATTGTAATTTCTTTTATAACTTCTTCCGGGATATTTGATCGCGCGTCGATCACCTGATCCGCTTGCGTGACAATTTTATTTACTAAATGTTGATTTTTATCAATCTGCACAATCTCGTTTGACTTATCATCTTCAAGCTTTTCGATACTTATATCATCTTTATTTTTGGATTGAACCGAGATTGCGGCAAGTAAATCGACAGCTTCCACTTCGCTTCCTTCTTTCGATCTTGCAGATGTAATCTTCGCAGACAAATGCTCGGAATTTTCCTTGGGATTTTCATTGTCGTCGCTGTGGATATCGGAAATATGTTTTAACGACTCGACCTCCGAACATGAGTTTTCATTGCTGTTATTGTTTTTGCTATTCTTCGAGCTTTTAGCAGCCTCGAAATGAACTGCGGAATGAATGCTTTCTCTCGTTTCCCAAACCGCGGGAAAGAAATATTTATCTGGATTTCTGGAATCGTTAGACTTCCCAGTAACTTGCCCCATATCGCTCGTATTATTTTTTATTTGCAAAATTGTCTCTTCAATCGCGTCCGACATTGCGTTCGTTCGAATCAAGGAATCAGTGACATTCCGAGAAGATGTCTCCTCCTTTTTCTGATTATTCTTATTGACGTTTTTGTCAGTTTGATTTTTAACATCAACCGAAGCCGCTCTCGCAACATCCACATTTTCTGTTTGACGTGTGTCTTTCTTGCTATTCGCAAAATGTTGCGTAGACTCGCAACGAGCCGTAGAGCGAACGCTCTCTCGCGTCTCGCATTCAGATAAATCGGACGAGTGCTCGCCGAGACCTTTGAGTTCGTAGGAATTTTTGGCAAAATTTCGTTCAATTTCACTCCCATCGATTTTCGCTGACGCTTGTTGCGAGCTTTGCTCTCGCGACTTATCAATTTCGGTCGGTGGAGCATTACTTCGAGCCGACGAATCGGGAACGTTTTGAAAGAACGATTCTTTGTTCGCGTTTTCTTGATCGGACTGACTTTTCACGTTAATCAGAATGTTTCTCAGCAGGTCCAAGGTTTCCGACTGACGCGCATCGCGGATCGATTCGGCCTCACGCAAATGATCCAGGAGCTTCTGTACCGCTGCAGGTGTTATCGCCGATTCCTTCAAGGCGCTCGCGATCTTCCCTTCGATGCTTTGTTTTTCGTCTTGCAGGATGTAGGCGAGGAACCGGTCTGCCGCATGGGACGTGTCCTTCTGGAAAATCCGCGTGAAAATTCGGTCATCGGTGTATTCCTTTTTAGAACGACTGATCTTGCGCTCCGAGAATTTCCTCGCAGACGTGACTTCGTAACGATCATCTTGGGTAATTTTCTTCTTCTGATGACGACACGGAGCTTGCGTTTCCGTGTGGGTGCTGGATAACGTTGGTACCAGGTTGGAAAATGTCATGATATCCGATCTGTCCATCGACGATTCTGATAAGCACATTTTGGCCGCCGATCGTTCAGTTTTATCGCTGTCGCGAGATATTCTAGAACTGTCATTCGCATCTGACGCAGGAAACACGCTAGATTCGACGGAGTTCTTCGAGTAATTACTGCAAGAACCATTTTCCCTCGTAAAAGCCGACAATTTCGATTCCGCCGCGTTTGCTATCTGCAGATCGTCGGTTCGATGTACTTTTGAGATGGTTAGGTCCTCGTTTCTCAATTCAGTCTCCAAAAGCGACGATCGAGCCTCGTTCAACGCTTCGTTCAACGAGTTCCGACAAAATTTCACCGCGTCTTGAGGCACTCGTTCGTCTTCATCCAGCTTGTATATCGCAAATTTGGAGCCTGATAGTAATTCCGAAATATTTCTGGTCACTCGAGCGACACGTTCGATCTTTTTGTCATTGGAATACAGGATTGAATCCAAGTCGTCAAGACACGGTCGGTACAGGTCGATGTCATCCAAACTGTCCTCCGCAAAATTTTTTTCTCGGAAAACGTCCATACAGCCCGAGGCGAAAGATTGACGTTGTACGTCTTCAGCAGTGACGTGCAGCCCATCTTGTCCGTTATGACTATTAAACGCGTGCGAAAAGTGTCTATCAACGGTCCGGTGAGATCTCGGATTTTCCGCCTCTCGACAGCGCAAAGCGATATTTTCGCACTGCCGAGGAAAACCCGCTATCCTTGAGGTGTCGTCGATAAGCGACGGCTTTGATCGATCGCTTCGGTTTTCCTCCACTTGAATCTTGTCTACAATGTTTTCGACGTTTCGCTGACGGTCAGAACTCCTCTTATAGAATACTCTGTCATCCTCCGCACAACGGATGTGCGTATTACCGCCGGCGGAGGAAGATAAAAAAAGAATTTCCTCGTGATTCTCGTTCCTCGCTTCGTGCAATTTGTCATTCTTATCAGTCTCCGGAGTTTCAATTACCGCGAACTTAGTCGCTCCTTGACTCGCCGTGTTTTTTAAACGTTCGGGTATCCTTTCCTGAGAGTCGGGATCCTTTTTCTCTTGTCTATAACTTTGAACTTTCGGGGATTGAATTCGTTCGACAACTCGTCCAGCATCAGAATTTCTGACACCTTCAAATTCTTTTTCCAACTTGTCCGCAGAAGTTAATACCGCTTCGGTCACAACTTCGGTAATCGGCTTCTCAATCGATTTTCGTTGTAAAGTGTCCAATCTCACACGTCGTGTTCTCGGTGTCCCTGATGCTTCTGGATCGTTCGTTCTATTATCCGCGTTCTGCACAGTTAAAAAATTTGTGTTAAATTTAACACATTTCGCATGTCTCAAACGGTCCACTCAAATTTTACTTAGTTAATTTAATACAAGCAGAGCTGAGAGCGTTTTTAAATACTTCTATTTTAAATACATACATACAATATTTGTAATATAATTGTATTTTGTATTTCAAATCGAAAAATTAAAAGTTTTTTGTAATTCAAATAATAAAATTGATTGTTAATCTTAGTATTTGAAATACTAAAATATAAAATTCAATTGTATTAAAATATTGTATTTGACTAGCTCTGAACATAAGATCAAATGTTATTAAATATCTCTTTATTAAAATTAATATTTTTCTAATACGTTAAATTAACAAGTTCCAATAAATTTATGTTAAAAATTCAACAAAAAAGAACTTGAGTAGACCAATTTTAATACAAATACAAAATCTCTTTTACTGTTTGGATAACATCATGGGATAGGATATAAGTGGCCGTATTCGCGCGGTTTTGCGCCTGAGATGACTCCGGTGAGATATGCACGTCTTCCAAGTTCTGTTTGACCAATTCCCGATTGACGATGTGCACCGATGGTCCTATTTGGATTTCGCACTCGTTTCCTCGTGCAGACAGCATTCGCCGACGATCGCGAGCACAATCGTCGCGTACTGTCGTCTCGTTCACGTTACTGATCGAGTCCTTCGACGGCACTCGGGCAGGCGACGCACGTCCACGAGACTGATTGTCGTTTCCGTATCCAAGAGATGACCAGTCGGCACGTCGTCGTCGCGACATCCGAAATTTCGGCGCCGACAAATCGACCTTGCGAACGGTGACACGAGGAAAATCACGTTTCTCCGAACGTGCGCTCGCCTTGCCGTTCGCCTCCGATAATCTCAAAGAGCATGCATCCTGAAACTTGGAGGTCACCAGCTCGCGAACGTACAGTCGCTCTTCCATCTCGTCGTCCAACGGCGGCTCGTCTGAATATCTGAATGCACATAAATGATGTATATTAAATAAGAACCAAATGGTTCCAGTAACCGTTACAGTAAAAGGAACCAAAAGTTGGATTTACAGTCTCGGACTGTTATCCGGACAAAATTTTTTTAGTCTGAGTCCTTGATTCTTAAGTATTTCCAATTTTTAAGTATTTTAAAGCATAATGGTTTTTGTTAATTTCTTCTGTAATATCAATTAATCAGCAAGTTTAAACGAAATACGATTTAAACATTGTGGACAATGTATGTATATACACAAAAAGAATGATTTTGTTGAAGTATCTAAAAAAATTTAAATAGATAGGTACAGATTAAAAAATGATTGTGTTTTGGACTATTAAAATATAATTATGGAGGAAAACTCGAGCATATGACAAACAATATTGCAAAAAGTTTTGAGCATTCTAGCAACTAGTTTGAGTCCTCCACAATTATTTTAATAGTCCAATCAAATTATTCTCAGACTTATCTAAATTTTTAGACATTTGAGTAAAATCGTTCCTTCATATATAATTTAAGTTGAAATTAACGAATAACTTTTAAAATTAATGTTTTCAAACATTGACAGCGACATAAACTTGTATATAACAAATTGTATAAGGAAAATCGCAATTGCAAAACAAGAGACTCGATTGTAACTTCTAAATAAAAGAGGTGGAGTATTTTGTAAAAATTATGTTTTTCTTTCTACTCACGTATTTTTATGCCGTCGTGCGGAATCGAAACTCGACGTTGCGCAGACTTCCATGAGTTGTATCTTTGCATTGTTAATAATCTTCTCGGCATTTTCAAGTGCAGTAGATGTTTCGGGACTTAAGATGGGATTGGAAGGATGCACTTCTACCGATCGATGCGTATCAAGCTGCAACGGAAAATTTGTATTAGAAAATGTATATAGAATGATTAAACGTTGGATAAATAAGATTGTGAATATTCATTACAGTTCTTTCATTAATAACGGGTCTCGCGCGTTTACAAGATTCTCTGCCGCTTCCACAAGTTGCTTTCGTGACTATC